ATAAATGATAAAATTCAAAGGTATTGCTGTCAAAAATAGAAAAATGTATTGTAAAAATTAACTTAGATTCTGAAATTGATACTTTTCTAAGAACTGATAATACGTTAATAAATTGTAAATTTCGAAATTTAATTAACATTATATATTTTACGTAAATATTTTATCATGTTTTTTGCAAATTTTGCAAAAGTTATGGCATTTTCTAAATTATCTATAAAATAAATTGCCATTTAACAATCTAAATCAATTTGTGATATAACAGCCTGAAAACTAATATAACTTTTAAGTGTATTTATTCTATTATAAATAGCTGCTTGAATTTTTTCCATATCAACTTTAAATTTTTCTTGATTTTTGCTAAAGATTGTGATTGATTTATTATAATGTATAATATTTCTTTGATTTACTTGCATTGTTTTGATAGCATTATTATATCTTTCTTCGTCGCCGGAATCAAGATTTCCAAATACCCATTTGTTAATTTTTCCAATTCCATTTATTAGAGCTCTTCTATGTCTTACATGAGGAACTAAATTATTAATCTTTTTCTGAATAGTAATTATTAGATATTCTGTTCTTTTTAACATATTTTGCGATAAGCTATGATAAAATATAGAATTAGTTGCATTAACATGAGCTATACTATGTTTTATCGATTCAAAATGATTAACTAAATTATTAACTTGTTTAACTACTTCTTCTAAATCTAAATAATGTAAACATGTATGTTTGCTATATATAAGTTTAGCGTTTCCTAATTGAATAAAAATCAGAAAATTTTCTATTGGAGTGATCTGTATATCAGAAAATGTACTATGTATTTGGTATACTTAAATGACTTGTAGAACTTGTACTATGAACAGCGTCGTTATCAAAATGGATTTCATTTTCGTTGATATCCTGTAACAATTTTTTTAAATTATTTTTCTGTTTTCCAACAATACTATTATGATAAGTACCCTTATCCGTTTTTATTAAAATACTTTCATCTTCAATGAAATTTGCCTTTTTAAATTTTGGTAATTTTTATTTCTTGATTTTTTTTGGCAAAACATGAGTTTTGTTTAATTTAATTTGTTTATTAAATTTTCTTTTACTTCTTCGTTACGTTGTGTAATTTTGTTATACATCTGTTTACTAATTTGTTTATGATCTTGTACATAATTAGAAATTATTAAGTGATCGTCTAAATCAAAGGGATTTGGATTATCAATGTGTCCTTTAATTATTTCAAATGGCGTGAACTTTGTCAGTGAATGTATACTATTATTATAACACAATACAGATTTTTTAATTAGTCGATCTGGTGTGAAATGTTTGTTTTCTTCTTGTAAACATCTATAATGTTCTAATAGACTTGAATGAAATCGTTCCACTGGGGAATTTGAATTACTATTTTTTGCGGTAGTGATATGTAGTTGGATATGGTGTAGTTTACAAAAATCTTCTAAATCGAAATTTTTTAATTCTGTTCTACTGTTGGTAGTAATTTTTTTGTGGTAGTCCGTGATGTGAAATAAATTCTAAGAGTTTTTCTACGACTGAAATTCCTGTTATACAATTTAGGGGATAAGCCTGACCATATCGCGAAGAAGAATTAATTATAGTCAAATAAGATTTATTAGAAATGTAAAATATATCTAAATGTATGTGTTCAAAGGGTTTTGATGCAGTGGGTGTCAAATTAAATTTTGGAACTGGTGGATTTCAATCATATTTATTCTTTGACCGTTATTAATTAAATTTTCAATATCATTAGCCATTCAAGCGGGCGGGTGGGTGCGTGCGTGCGTGCATGCGTGCGTGGGTGTGTGTGTGGGTGCGTGCGTGCCTGCGTGCGTGCGTGCGTGTGTGTCTTTATCCACCATAACTCATGAAACGATACACAAAAAAACACCAAATTTTAAACTTAAGCTTTATTCCATCGTCTGATTAGTTTTTGGACAGAGTCGGAACATCTGGGGGGTACTTTATGGGTGGTCATTTTTATATTTTATGGAATATATCTGTTATATACGTTTGGAAAAGAAAATTCTTTAAATAAAAGTTACTTCTTCTATTATTATCTATAATTTTTATTTTATACAAAATTTTCCTAAAATGGTCCGTATTCGAGAAATTTGACAAAATAAAAAAAAATATTTTTTTAAAAAATTGTTCAAATAAAAGTTGTTTGTAATATAATTCTCTATAATTTTTATTCTACACATAATTTCTCTAAAATGGACCGTATTTGAGATATTTAAGAAAATGTGTAAATTTCGAATTTTGAAGAAAACTCAAAAACGGATAAAGAAAAAAACATTTAAATTTTAAAATTAAGTTTTATTTCGGCCTGACGTTAAGTCGGAACATCTGGGGGGTACTTTATGGGAGGCCGTTCTTATATTTTATGGAATATGTGTAATTTATGTTTGGGGAAGAAAATTGTTTAAATAATAGTTACTAATATTATTATCTATAATTTTTGCTTTATGTCAAAATTTCCTGAAATGGTCCGTATTCGAGAAATTTGACAAAATGTGCAAAATTCTGATTTTTATGAAAATTGTTGAACTAAAAGTTGTTTGCGATATCGATCTCTATAATTTTTGTTTATATATGATTTTTCTAAAATGGACCGTAATGAAAAAAATTGGAGGAAGAGTGCTAAATTTAAATTTTTCAGTATTTTCGGTTTCAATGAATATCTATAGAAAAATGTTTCGAGGTAGATGTATGTGGAAAATGTATATATTAATTTATCCTCTAAATATTTATAGAGGTGCTGCAATAGGTTGTACAAAATAACCGGAAAAAGCCTATAATAACTAGATAGGAAAGTCATGTGTTGGACATATCAGATTTTTTTCTGCATTTTAATAAAATTAAATTTAAAAGTAGGTATATGAGTATGTGTTTAAATTAAACTAGGTTTATCTCTGTCATGGTAGTACTTAATTCTTTTTGAATTTTGTTCCTTTTCTCTTAAAATTTGAAAAACATTTAAATTTTATTATCTTCCTGTTACATTTATATGTACTCGGTGTTTTTATTTCACTCTTAATTTTATTATTAGGTAATTTGTTAAAAAAAATTGATAAGAAGCTCTATTAAAATTCCAATAAAAAACATATATTTTATGCTTTTAAATTTACTTACTTTAACTAGAGAAATTATAAATACTCCATTTGAACTTATCTCTAAATTATATTGCAAATAATTAATGTATTGCATACTTTTATATCTACAACAGAATTTTATCATATTTCATCTATTTACTAAAATTTCGATTTTCACGGTAAAATGTGCAGTTATAATAATTTAATGAATAATTTATAACATAAATATTAACGTCGTAATAGTTCTTTTAAAATTTGACACCAATGATTATCTTTCGAAAACTTCAAGATACTACGTTCTAGCTGTTAACACGCCGCATGTCGAGAACACCTTTATCAGCTTGGAAGACGACCTTCGTTGTGTTTTATTGGTGGAAGACTATTTTTTTTAATTTTTCTTACTATAAAAATAAGCATCACACTTGGTTTCACCTTTGCGACTATAATTTTTTTTATTATTTTTTTACGCCTATTTATGTGAATGAAGACGTACTTTGTTGTACAATTCAGGTGGAAGACGACATTTTCTAGTATTTTTATGTTTATATCAACGTGTACACCAAGTTTCATCCATGCGAAAATGATTTTTTTTATAACTTTTTTACTGGAATTGCAACCCTCCCGCCACCCTCTGTCGTACAACTGGAATGGAAGACGATGATTTTACTGTTAGATGCTATTTAAATAACTCATATTCAAAAATTAAAGCTTGCGAAAATGGTTTATTGAAATCTATCATTACCTCCCGTACCATTATATTTTATTATAGTTTGGATTTGGTTTTTCAATACTCGCAAAAAAGTCATTAAAGTGGTTTTCTTACACATTGTTACTTTCCTGGATAAGAAGGAAGTATTGTAATCGTGAAAAGTCAAATTTTGTATGCAGATAAGGTTCCTTTCTGGCTTAAAACTACTTATACTTCTGATCAGTTATATACAGGGTGAGCAGTTTTTGAAATAAAAATGATTTTTAAAAGTCGGCAGATTTTGACTAAAATTGTTGTCTGAAAATTTTAGAAGTCAAAAATAACAGCTCCTAAATAAGTTTTTAAAAATTCAAAATGGCGCTGAAAGGAATCGTATTTAATCAAGAAAGGTCCCCATTGAATGGAAACAATAAAAATCGTCCTTTTGGTTTGTGCAACTCGACCATTTTAAAAGCATTATTGTTTAATAATGGTGAAGGTGACGAAGAATACCAAGTGGACGCGAAGTGAGAATTCGGGTGGGATCAAGAGGAAGATCGATAGAGAGAGAAATGTGAAAAAGAGTTTTTGGTTTGGTGGTTTTAAGTTTAAATTATTAAAATTTAAGTGCTTAGGAGTTCCCTGTTATTGCAATTTCTATATCGAGGGTTCTGGATAGAATACTTTACCGGTTTTTGTCTTTAGTGTTTTCATTGTTGATATTTAATTCTATGGGTGATCTACTTTATATTTTGCTGTTTTCTTGTATGATTTTTCAGGCTTCCCTATTTATATTGGATGAGTTCAGAATTCTGTGATTGTTCTGATTTTGCTTTTTCATAGATGTATTTTATTTCAACATAATTTAGTTTTTATTTCTTCATTTCCAGTAGGGAGGGCAATACTACATAGTTCACATACCATATTCGTTGACTTGTTTAGTTACCCAGGGAGATTTTGTTTTGTAATTTTTTCTTACTTTTTTGTGTGTAAAAGAATTTTAACAATTGTATTGAAATGTTGTGAAGAATGAGTCAAAGTTCTCATTAGTACTTTTGGCACTATAGACATCCGTCCAATTCTCATTTAATAGTGTATTGCTAAAAGACATTAAGTTATATGTATTTTCCATGTTGCCAAATTGTTATTGTTGTTATTTCCATGACAATTTTGTTTAATTTGAGTTAGAAAATTCTTGGTTTGCATTTCAGGTTGGTGGCGACGGGATATTCTATGAAGTCCTGAATGGACTGTTCGAGCGCAGCGATTGGTCGGAAGTGATAAAATCTATCCCGGTTGGCGTTATACCAGGCGGTTCGGGAAACGGTTTGGCCCGAAGCATAGCCCACTATTATGGAGAGCCGTATCTTCCTTCCCCAACGTTGCCTGCCGCTCTGGCTATAGTCAGAAATCACTACGCTCCAATGGATTTGGTGCGAATCGAAACCACCACGCAAATTATATTTTCGTTTTTGTCCGTTGGATGGGGTTTGCTATCCGATATCGATATCGAAAGCGAGAAGTTGAGGATATTGGGTGGTCAAAGGTAGGTGTTCATAGTGTTCTGTTATACTAATTTTTTTTTGTAGGTACTTAAACTGAAATTATAGTAAACGGACATTTCATGTATTATATTGATTATAATTATATTTTCCAATTATATATCTAATGTTCTTGTGCAATAAATTTCCTTGTCTGTAGAGTAAAATCACACATCTCCAAAAGTCTTTGCCCCCATTGGTAACTTTTAGCGCGGTCAATGTAAGATGACTATTTTTTGTTTATACATTCTTCATTATCTTATCATACATAAACGCAATAGGTTGTAAGCACAAAACTGTTTTCGTCCGAAAATATGCACCATTTGAAAATAAATCAGTTCTAAGCTGAGATCGAGTATTAAAGTATCAAGTAAATTTGTCATAAAATGCCAGGTCATCCGATTTCCCACTTTGTCCGGGCAAGAATACTGGTCTTACATCAAGAGGATTTGTCAAATCACCAGATTGCGGGTCATCCGTGAATATTTCACGGACTTCAGTAAGGACGGTGACTGGTTGACATAGAGTGTCATCAGAGGGAGAGAAGACCAGTATACGGCAAATTTTACCAGAAGGAACCGAAGTATAACAGTAACAGCTCTTCGAAGTAATTTTTTGCGAAAGTACCGGAGGGTAGTTTCTAGAAGTACCCCAAGAAAATTGCATTCCTCAAATCTAAGGGCAAGAAGACCTTTTAGAGTGCCTAGGCACTTACCCCACACAGAGCTGCACGTCGCCATTGGGCTCAAACGCACAAGAACTGGCCTTTTACCACAATGGCGCAACGTCCTTTTTTCGGACGAGTCGGAATTTGACCTACAGAGTGATAGCCGGTGAGAAAGGGTCTGGATGGGTCCAGGCAGACAGGAACGACTTACTTCGGCAAGAGGTTTTATTCCCTATCAAGGCGGGTAAGAGATGTTTTGGGAGGAATAATTTTTGGTCACCGCACAACACTTAATTTGATTGAGAGAACTATGACAGGTATCATATACGCTGAAAACATTATTTAACCAATCATTCAGCCTTTGCACAACGCATTTGGAAACAGTTTTATTTTTTAAGACGAAAATGCCAAACTGCATCGCAAGCAAAGGGTACAAAATATGCTGCAGGAAGGAAATATTCAAATAATTAACTGGTCGCCAAACTCACCAGACATGAATCCCATTGAGCATGTATGGAATTATCTTGGCAGAGCAATATTCAATCGAGAAAACCCCCTTCAACCGTCCAGGACTTGACTGTAGCTGTTCGAGAAGATTGGGACAATATGTCTGATAATTTTATTGATAACCGGATCCGGGGGATGCCACGACGCGTTGGTCAATTGATTAAAAGGAGGAGCGATAATACAGACTATTAAGTTATGTTTTTGTTACGATATTTTTTCACAAAAAATAAAATTTTCTAATAATTTTTGGAATTTTTTTTGTAATGTGCTTTATTCTGCATTATTCGGTAAGCAAATTACAAAGGTTGTGTATCACATAGTTTGGTATTAAAATAAAGAACAAGATTCGCTATATTTTCAAAATTCACTTTATTTTTAAAAATACCTTGGTGGGCCAAGACTTTTGGAGATGTGTGTAGTTAAAAATATTTATACATATTATTTCAGGTTTACGATATGGTCCTTAGCACGATTGATCGGGTTACGTAGCTATGGTGGAAAACTGTGGTACTTACCGGCAGAGGTTCCATTAGTCGATCCTAAAGAAAATCTCATCTTTTCCAACAACATCGGCAGCAACACCGACCTGCCAACTGAAGTTAATTTGGAAACTAAAGGTATTTAATTTCAATGTTTTTTCGTTCCTCTGCCTCTTTTTTAACTATTTACTTACCAAAATGAAGCAATTTGTCTATTGATTTCTTCCAATTTAATTGGTAAATTTCGTCGACTGTATGCTTTAGTTTTTTCCATTATATTTCCAAAAAATTGAGTCAAATTATGATATTTTGGAATGTTATCAAAAATATCAATAATTATTAAGAGTCGGGTTTTTATGTGTCATTTTAGGGGATTAGGTGAATTTTTGCTTTAAGTTTTTAACACTGTTCTGTATTTTGTGAAATTTTGATTGATTTACTATTTTACACAATTTGTCTAATTTTCCTGTACTATGAACCTCTAATTAAAGGTATTCTGTTAACAGATTTTTTAAAGTAAAATATTAAATTAAAGTAAAATAAAGAATGTCATTAAAGCGAAGGTTAAAGCTTATCAGACACTTGTTTCGATAAACTGCCTATCTAGTTTGAAATTATTTTGTTATATCCAGACTTATATTAATATTTTGACGATGTGTATATATTTGTAATCAACTTAAAACTATAATTTACATCAAAAATATAATTTTTTGTAAATTATTTTAATTTATTTCACGATTGTTCACGAACATATTTTAATAAATGCAACATACAAAAACATCAATAAATTAAAAAAATTACACCAAAATAATTTAATGATTATTGTCAGCAAATAAAATTGATCGTTTAAAAATAGTAGCCATTAATGTTTAAAAGTAACCAATAATCTTATTGTTGCATCACATTTTACTTCTCACACAATTTTACAGTCATTTAAGATGAACAATACTAATTATTATTATCCAAGTGATAGAAATATTTTGATTTTTTTTCCATTGAAATTAATAAGATTATCCACGTCAAATTTTTTATATATTAAGTACATATTCTCTTAGTTATTGGTGGATCAATTTCAATTTTCAAAAAAAATATATATATATATATATATATATATATATATATATATATACAGGGTGGCTCACGCTCAACGGGACGGAGCTTTATGGGAAAACGACCAAAGATATAAAAATTCGTTTGGGAGGAATACGTAGGTTACAGACGGCTACAATTTAAAATTTGTTAGATGTATACAGGATGTCCCACATAAGAAAAAAAAATTAGTTCATTAAAAATTATTCAAGCAAGAGTAAACAATTAATTTCTGGGAGACTTTTTTTCCTTAAAAATTCAAATAAATCGAAAACTAATAATAATAGTAATAGGGAACCTTTAGTTAACTGACATTATTTTTGATGTAGTTTTTAATTCTAAAATAAAAAACAGGGTGTTCCATTAAAAATAATATAACTTTGTATATTTTCTCTTATGTGGGACATCCTGTATACATCTAACAAATTTTAAATTGTAGCCGTCTGTAACCTACGTATTCCTCCCAAACGAATTTTTTATATCTTTGGTCGTTTTCCCATAAAGCTCCGTCCCGTTGAGCGTGAGCCACCCTGTATATATAGCCTGGACTAGTGTTGGCAGTCACTTTCAGAAATGACCAATGTGAGAAGTTGACCAAATGTGACCAATATATCTCCACCTAAAAATTTAATTTTTAACGTTTTAAGCAGAGCATTGAACGTCAACAATGGCATTTATTCTTACCAAAACTAGCTCGAGTTTGAGATATGACGTAAAAGTGTAATACAAAGGTGCGAACATTTTTAGTATCGTCATAGCATATCCTCTTTATTCTATCTCAATGGGTATATTATATTGAATATCTGGAATCTAGGATAAAGTTGTCTTGATATCCTGTAGTACCCAACATTTTTGGTATCGTTGAACAGCTCATAAAGAAACCTATTCAAAAAATATCATTGTTGTAAACAAACGAAAATGACTCCGTAGGTGACATAAGTGACCCGGCACTTTGTATGGTCTCTTACAGTCGACAGATTACCTCGTGGCTCTCAAGGCACGTGGGTGTAGCAACAACAAAGTAGTTGTTGGAAATGAGAGTAATAGTGTTTTTGTATATTTGTTTTAGATAATATAGTATATATAGTTGCTATGTAAAACATATTTTATTTTTAATAATTGACAATGTATATATTTTTTGAGCGTGAAATTTCCCACAAGGTCCATCAAACCGATTTGCAATATTGTAAAAGGTGGGTCGGCATTAGAAATTTAAAAAAAAAAATTTTTTTACATACATTTTAAATGGTAAAACTTTAAATTTAAATAGTAAGTACTTAAAATTGATATTAAGAGCTCAAACTTGGTGAGAATTTCTTTTTCTATATGTAGATTAATATTTTGCTTGAGCACCGAAAAAAAAAACAAAATTTTTCGGAAATGAATCACCCTAATATATATATATTTTTTGAGTTTGTCAGAATAATTTTAAATAAAGTAATTTTGAGAACTTCTCAATTTTTTTTATACAGATGAGTAAACCAGCTAGGTCTTACTCATTCTGAACAGAAGGGACATACTCCAGTGAGGTACAATCGATGCAAGTTTTCAAAATCTATTTCTTTTCTGATGCTAGGTCGTTGTCTCGTGTTTTAGTGTAATTTATGGCTGTGTTAAAATATTTAAAAATTTGTTCTCTTCGAAACTTATAATTGAGAATTGGCAAAATGAAATTTAAAAATACATTGAAAGGACATGTAATAAAAAGTAAAATGAGGGAAATTGTGGCTAATATTCTACAGTTTATGACGAAAGAAAAATATGCTGGCAAACCTTTGTAGTGGTTATAAAACACAAGTGCTACGCCACTGGTAAGTGATGTGCGCGAAGTGAAGGGAAACGAGGGGGTCGGGCGGTCGAACACCGGAGTAGTCAGTCAGGCTCGAGACGTTGTTACGAGCACCTGACGGAACAATAATTTTAGTTTTAAGTTTTTATTTGTTATTTTATTTTTTGATTAAACGCATTTTGAAGTTAAAATACCTCTTCTAACCCACAAACCTTCTCATCTGGCGCCCAACTAATGGGGAAGACGGTTACTTAACAAAAAGTGCAAAATTTATAAGTAAACAAGTGAATATTGTAGAAGACGCTGACTTTGTGTTTGTGTATCCAGACAGCGAAAAAGTAGCAGGTTACATTGCAGACAGGAGCTGACCGCCGAAAGCAGACAGGAAAGTGTAAAAGCTGAGTGGCAAGAGCGAGACAGACTACTCAAGGTCAAAGAAACAAAGATTGATACGATCCGGTAAGACTGTTTATTGTTTCAATTTTTTTTACAACCGAATCCCAGTCCCGAGTTTGGAGTGTATCAGCATTATTAACTGTCAGCTGATTTATGCAGGCTCACACACGTTGGAAGTTGGAACTCTTGTATCTCGGGTCTGTTTAAAGACATTTTTTATAAAAGTTTTCATTAATTGATTAATTTGAATACCTTTTTGTTCTAAAGGTTATGAAAATAAGTATACCTATGTTCATAATTTTTTAATTTTTCCTTTTTTTTTATTACTATTGTAGTTATTACAATTTATGTTCTTATTTTGTCTTAATTGTATTTTTGTCTCGTTGTGGCATTTTGTATTTTAGTAATTTTACATCATTTTACAATCAGTTATTGAAAAATGCCGCCTAAAATAAGTAAAACTAATACGAATGGGACAGCTACAGGGCAAATAAATTTAGAACACTGTCTCGAAAAATTATGCCTGGGAATGGTACAATTGCAAGATGCAGTTGGAACTTTAACGTCCAAGGTGAATGAACACCAATCTATGTTTAATAATAAAAATGATGATACAAATAGTAACCAAGACAATGCCAGATCTTATATTGGTAATTGGAAGGAACTGGGGGGTAATAATTTTCATTTTAACCCGTCAGGGAAATTAAATCCACAAGCATTTTTGAAAAAAATAAAAAATATTTTTGATGAAGCCGGTGTCCCCGATTCGTCGCGAGTGGGCCTTGCTATTTCGTGTTTAAGAGGTTCAGCGGCGGAGTGGGCAGCAATTAAAGAAAATACATTTACTAATTTTAAAGATTTTGAAGACGCGTTTATAAATAGATACTGGGGGGTTGAAAAACAAAGAGATCTCTTTCTAGAAATTAATTACGGTCGCTGTGAATCTGGATATTTATCCGAATATTTTTTAAATTTAATTAGCCAGGCCTCTTATTTAACGACATCTATTCCTGAGGAAAAACTTATATCTCTACTATCCAAACATTTTAATACGGACATACAAAGGGGTATTATTACTCAAGGGTTAAAAACTTTCGACGAGGTAGATGAATATTTACGAAAAATTGACGATACTTTTTCAAAAAAAACTCCTGCCGGGGGATCCGGGGTTACCGTAAATGCATCGCAACAATATAGACCCAACACCAAACCTAATAATAATTGGAGGAATCAAGGGGGGAATAATAGTATGAATCATCGTGTCACCCCGCAAACATCTGAAAATTATCAGATAAATCAAATGGCGGGGGAACATTCGACTGGGAATTCACAAAATCAAATTTTTAATATTACAACATTTAATCAAGATCCGGATAATATACTTAGTGACCCTGAAAGTGAGGTTGACGATATCAATATGTCTATGCCGACAATTGAAGCAACAATAAATGACTTTTCCGTTGAAGTGTTAATAGACAGTGGCAGCGAAGTTACTGCCATGTCACAAACCTTTTTCAATCACATAACAACATTATTTAAATTACCGGTACTTCCAGTAAATAATTTGTCCGTTGTTGTGGCAGTAGGCGGGAAGAAACAAAAAATTAATCAACAAACGTTGTTGCCTCTCTCCATCAACAATATAAAATTTGAAATTCCGTGTCTTATTGTACCGCATCTTAATAAAGATTTATTACTAGGGTTTGATTGGTTGAAGACCTATAAAGTGCACATAAATTTTGAAAAAAATAAAGTATTGGTAACTCATAATAGTCAGGTACACGAATTTCATTTGAAAGAAAAATCTAACGTCGACGGCGACGCTAGTATTAGTCTTTGTTTTTTACGAGAACCCAACGCAACA